TATTCTTTAACGCAGCTCTCACTAATAAACCTTTGAAGGGTGTCTTCCTGTCTCTTGTTGTAAGCTTGAGAAATCGCTTTCTCTTACATACAAGAATTGACCATGTTTCACTACCCTTGTTCACTGCATTTCATTTTAACAATTAAGCTTTCAAATTTATAAAGTTGATTACCTAAAAAAAATTGCGTAGCAGTGGAACGGTTACACAACTACTCCACATTCAGAGACCATGTTATGATCGACGATTGAACGTCCCAACTAAAATATTCTTCGTATGGTTCAAAATATTTATCTTTCATCGTAAGGGTGGATACAGATTGGGGGTGTTTTATAGGAGGGTGCACAGGGGAATATTTTGACCTACAGGAGATGAAGTAACAGGAATATGAAGAGAACTGTACAAAGAACAGCTTCAGAATTTTCACTGTTCACCAAATCATTAGCTTCATGGCATGAAGGAAGTTCAGATGAATTAGTGGAAATCAGAGATCCGCTGATTCCTCCTCAGAACATCGCAAGGGAAGATGTCACTACCAAAACTTAAGCTTGGTTAAAGGATAATATTAAGATATTTGGAAAAGAACGACCCAATTACGGATAAAAATATCTAACAAGAAAATATTTTAATGCCTCAATTAACCACTACAGTTCGGTGGTGCTAACTGTCTGTATTACATGCCATAACCGTGAAAATTTGGGGGCACGCGGTAGCTTAGTTGGATGAGGCACTATGCTACAAACTGGAAGGTCGCGGGATCGAATCCCGACGAGGTGGANTGTCTAGAGAAAATGTGGGAACCTCGACGTCTCACAACCCTATGGGCCTCCTCGGCCTGTTACAGGGATAGCTTTATTTTTTTTACTTTCAACCGTGAAAATTACATATAAATTAAATATATTTAATTTATTTTACCAAATAAACAGCTAATGTTTTCCATAAGATCTATAGGTGTATAATTTAATTCCATAATAAGTGAATATTACTCAGATATATACCTCTTATAAAAGTTTAAAAATATTTTCTAAGAATTCTGATATTCTTAAATGCGCCTTTCTTGTAAAACGTTGCCAGTTGAAGCTATCTGAATTTCTAGTCCTTACCGGAAAGACTGGAGCTCGCGGGGGTCCCAGCTGTACTGACGCCAGCCTGTCTTCCTTCATCCGGTCAAAAGTACAAGTGAATTTGCTATGTTAAACCTGCCAATCTGCATTACAAATCAATAAGAACATACAGAGTGACGTCAGGTGTTGCTGCGACAGACTTTCACTGTGATATGAGGGGGAGGGGTGAATGAACTTCAATAATTCGAAAAGAATAATGCATGACTTCCGCAAGGAGAAACGGAAACGCGAGTTTCCTGTGTAACAAGATGACTTACCAACAAGTTACTTTTGAATATTACTGTCTTGGATGTGACGCCGTGCAGTCCTTTAGAATGTTACGAACCTTCATGAGGAACACGCCTCCATCTTCAGGACATAAATCTCGCATAGTAAATATATACATGGAGATTATTCTACGCTACTTAATTATACCCTGAAGGTGGATACAGCGAGTCCCCACCTAAACGTTGATAACAATCAACCAGACTACACGGCGTCACATCCCGGGAAAGAGTAACTCGCTTAGTTAGCCACGTATTGTTTTTACTGTTTTCTATAATGAGTAGTCCGGTAGGATGCTACAGATGTTTCGGAGGAACATGCTGCCTCCGTCTTCAGAAGCCAATAATCATATTCACTGTCGTGAGAACCTCTAAGTTTCATACAGTAACCCTCAATAGAGAGGAAACTCTACGTAATAGTCATTGGTTCGATTCCTTGCCAAGTCAAGAAAACTAACGTACTGAAAACCCTGTCTATTTTTTCACAGTGAAGATGGAGACAGCAGACCCTTCTGAATCATCGGTAATAATCTACCAGACTATACGTTGTCACATTAGCTTTCATATTCTGCGCAGAGATAACTTCAAACCTATACGGTTCTAGGCACTGCGGGCATCTCAAACAGACGCCGTGCGTCTTCGTGTGACGCATGCGCTGTGAAATTCGGCGCCTGGCATCGTATTTTTTCCCCCCACAGAGAGCAAACAACATTCTGGCGGCAGTCCGTCGTGAACAATTGAAGGCGGTGGACGTCTAGTGTCGACGCCTGGTGTTAGACGCGCGCGAGTGAGTGTTTCGACGTTCTGAATTCACAGTGAATTAATGGAACAATAATTGCAGTCTCGGCTCCTTCTTCAAGGTACGAAACGGCTGCACAGGTAACGAAAACACGTTCCATTGGCGCCTTACACGTTTCATTGAATATTTAAAACTAATATTATAAGGGTCAAAAATAGCATCAAAACTATAGAATTTTTTATGCAAACTTAAAATTCTTAGCCCTTACGTATTTCCTTGCCGTATAACCAAGAGTTGCTGTTTTGAACTAATTTTTTATTGTTAGTGGGGTGCGACTAAGTCCCCTTTACTGCGGCCACTTCTGGCCTATGGTACCAGCCCCAGATGATAGGTGAGGGTGATTGTGGAGCAGTTGGTGGAAAGAAGATTGGCAGGGGAAACCGAAGTACTAGGGGAGAAAACCTGCCTCAGCGCCACATTGTCAACCACAAATCCCACTTGACCAGACCCGGGATGGAACCCGGGCCGCCGCGGTGGGAAGCCAGCGACTAACCGCTTGAGCTATGGCGCGGCCTTATTTTGAACTATGTCACAAGAAATTCTTTGTGCCTAACATAAACAAACAAGGCTGTGCATATGTCAGCTTATGCTGAACAGGGTCGTTGGTTAGAAGAAGTTGCAACTGCAGTGAATGATACTGCAACGAATTCTTCACTAATAATAAATAAAAGTTACATTAACATGCAAACATTCGCTTTCAGCGATATTAAAATTGAAACAAATCAACAGTAAGCCTAATTAATGAGTACGTTATCATAATTAAGGTTTCAGTATTCAATGTTACTCACTCACGGAGCTGAGCCTTTCTTGAGGAGCCGCCAGTTGTGGAGCTACTTAAGAATTTCCCAGCATTTTATGGAACCCGAAGGTTCATTACCGTGTTCACAAGAGCCCTCTACTGGTCCCTATCCTTAGCCAGATCAATCAAATCCATACCATCCCATCCTATCTCTCTAAGATCCATTTTAATACTGTCTACCCACCTACGCCTTGGTCTTCCCAGTGGTCTCCTTCCTTCTGGCTTTCCCACCAATATCCTATATGCATTCCTCTTCTCCCCCATTCATGCTACATGCCCTGCCGACCTCATCCTCCTAGACTTGATCATTCTAATTATGCTTCAAGAACACAAGTAAACTGTAATAAATTGTTCTGAATATAGTTGACTCTTAGCTACTCTGATACTTATAATGAAAAGCAGAATACCCCGGACGAAGAACGGGTATTCTGTCTTGGGCTAAGTATGAAAATGATGTAGGCCTACAAAATTTGGACAATAATTATGTGTTTCATTTACTTGATAATTTTTAAGCTGCTTACTTAACGACGATGTTTCCATCGAGATCATACGTCAGTTGATAGGATGGTCAATAATATGTAACAGTTTGAGTGATAATTGGCAGGGGAAACCCAAGTGCCCGGAGAAAATCTGCCTCAGTGCCACTTCATCCACCACGAATCCCACATTACCTGACTTTGGGTCGAACCCGGGATCCGTCGGTCAGTATAACGTTATTCCAATGATTGCTCATTCCTTTGAAATATTTATGGCGTTATGCTCGAAACGAGAGCGCATGCGTGTGTAAAATTTCGGTTATATTTGTCCGAAATTAAGAATATGATGACACTTTTCCATTGCGTATATGCGGACGGACAGATATGAAGAATGCATAAAAAATACTTAATCATTCTAACACAGAGTTCTATGATAGTGAAGCTGGCTTAAAATTTTAGGAAGGAATTCCATTCGAAGTCACAAAAATTGAAGTACACTCTTGTAAATAGGGGGCACGCGGGAGCGTAATTGGTTGAGGCACTACGCTACAAGCCGGAAGGTCGCGGGTTCTATTCGCGGTGAGGTCACTGGATATGTTTCAACTGACCTAATCCTTCCAGCCTCACTATGGCCCTGGGGTCGACTCAACCTCTAAAAGAAATAACTATCACGAATCTTCCTGGGTGTAAAGGGCGGCCGGCGCGTAAGGCTGACAACCTCACCGCCATCTGTGAGCCAAGTGTGCCGAAAACGTGGGAGCCTTGACGTCTCACAACCCTATGGGCCTCCACGACCTGTTACAAGGATAACTTTATCTTACCCATATAAAGAAAAACAGCTAAAATTATGATTTCAATATTTCAATCTCCGCTGTTTTTTTGAAAAAGATATCAGAAGCAAGACGAACAGAACAGAATTCGATATCGCAGACAATGACAAAATGGCCACTTAATTTGTTTCTACCAATAGGTTCGTTTCGTTTCAGGAAGCTGATACTTCCATTTAAAGTGCGCGTTGTAAAACTGAGTTGGCCGAACTACACTTGAGCGCTTCGTTCTTCTTTTGTTTCGCTCGGTTGGTTTCCTATGAGACTGCGCTTGGAACTCTCGGAGCGTGTCACGTCAAGTGCTACACTCACGAAACTTTTAGAGCGCACGCAAAGTGGAAATCTCCCTTCCTTTTTTTAACCCTTTATCCATTGTAATCGTTTTAAATGCTGTTTCTAATTGGCCATTCGGAGCAGACGACAAAAAAAGAAAGAGGAAATCTCTTCGCTCTTATAATTTGTCTCCCTTTGAGCAATGAAGGTTAATTAAACGAAACATATTCACCGCTTGTAACGGAGAACGTAACCTAGAGCTGTGTGTACGGGAGGTAAAAAAGCTTTAATGTATTAATCCGCCATTCTTGGACCCTAATTTGAATTCGCGGGTGGTGCAAATACAGTAGAATTATCACTGCGCTCAAGTCGGGTAAATGTGGTTCCCGTCAGCGGCCACAGCGGACTGCGTACAGTGGTAAGATGACAGATTAATTCGAAAGGATTTGAAGGACTCAGTCTTGGGCCTAACCGCGGTAATATCCTGGAATTTGTCTGGGGGTGCTGAGGATAATCACAAAAAAACATGTCAGCAGAGCAGGTGTAAGGGCAAAGCTTCGAACTCAGCACCTCCTGAAACTATGTCTGAAGCATAATCGCTAGTTCATCCTTCAGTAGCTGGTGGCAGCATCCGTCTTATGCATAAATGTAACTTGCTTGTGGTCAGCGACATACCAGGGGAAGTTAACAAAAAGAAATTCCAGCTTAAGGCGATCAAAAACAAGTTTTCAGACTGGAACTAAAATAATTACAGATAAAAGCAGTGGCCTATTAGAGCAGATATAAAATTTCAGTTGTTTAGAGGTGACAAAACATGTCTGGACTTTGTTCAAATAAAACTCGTTCTGAGGTGATGATGTACAAAGGAATACAGAACGTCCTCATGGGGGTTTCCAAATACTGTCAAACGTACACTTCTGTTGCACAGCCTGTGGCTAACCACAGGTATGTTGTGTATATGGTCACGTGGTCACTTGCGACCGGCAGTATACGCTAACGGCGCCACGAACGGGTTTCATTTGAACAATTCTAATATATTAAACAAAGACTCCATTAAATAACAAACTCAATTAGTGTGATATATGTGATACCTCAAGATGTGTTCAGTTTGTCTTGGCGTCAAGCCCCTTGAGACTCACGACTAGGGATCTTTTTTCCAATTGAACAATTGCGGTCATAGTCCTCTCTGACAAGATGGGTATTTGTCTCTTATGAATATGCTTCGCCTTTGTCAAGTGTACGTAACGCACTTATAGCGTGTTACTGACAACTCTTCCTTTTGCACTATATACAGATCCTCCATCAGTCCAGGCTTTGCAAAGGAGATCATGTCTGTCTTACGTATCTTATACTATAACGGCAGTTTAAGTCGCTTGAACGGCCGTAAGCTTAACAGCAGCCAATTGAAGCCTCCTATATTTTTTACGTCTGGCTTCGCCTTGTCCTATACTACGAACACGGACATCTTGAAGTCAGTATAAATAATATATAAAGATTCAGTCCGTACCTCACAGGAAACACATTACGTCTCCATAGCAAAACCCAACCGGTTAATGCTGTTTAGGGAAACAGTCACTGTTTATTGTGAGAACCATGCGGAACACACAGATACACTGTGTTGGCAGAATATATAGCAATTCAGTCCGTATCTCACAGGAAACACATTTCGTCTCCGCTACAATGACCAACCGGTTAATGCTGTTTATTGTGAGAACAACACGGAACACACAGATACACCCTGTGAGCAGAATATATAGCAATTCAGTCCGTACCTCACAGGAAACACATTACGTCTCCGCTACAAGGCCCAACCGGTTAATGCTGTTTTGGGAAACAGTCGCCGTTTATTGTGAGAACCATATGGAACACACAAATACACTGTGTGGGCAGAATACAGAGTTCCTTAATGTTAAAACTGGCAGTACATATACTAACCAAAGGGCTAAGAAGACTTATGAAAATGGCAGCAGCGAGAGAGCGTGCTCATAGCCAGTAAATCACCAATGGACCTCATAGCACAAAGACCAAGTCTTCACTGTCTCTAGGGACGGTTCTGTAATGTTGGATCTTTTTTCTTATTGCACTACGTCACGCTCACGTGTGCCCATGAGTACCCATTTCCACATTACGTCACTAAGACAACGAAAAGGACGCTGTAGCCACCGTCTGTCATTTGTTTTCACTGTCGGTACACGATAAGGGTCTGTTCCGTGATAACTCACATTGCAGTCAAACTCACACACAAACAAGTAAACACAGCATATCAGTTCTAGTATGTTCACTCTGTTTTCAGATCGATATTACAAACAAAATAAGGAGGCTGAAATGGGCAAGGCGTGTAGCACGACATGGGCCAGAAGTGAATAAGACGTTTATTAACCGGTTGGGCTTTGTAGTGGAGACGTAATGTGTTTCCTGTGAGGTACGGACTGAATTGTTATATATTATTTGGAAAGATTTGGGTTTATAAGCCCGTGTGGAGGCGGGTTCGAATACCTCCACCGTAGCTCTGCGAGCCTTAAAAGAGACGAAAAGGGAACCTAGTGCCTGGGTATATAACTGGGCCACCATGTTCCCGGGGGATAAAAATAGGTGGACCTGGCCCTCCAGGTTGGGGAAGTCTCGAATATCAGAGAGTAATATATTGTCTTGAGTCGCGGAATTCAGACCCGAGAATTATTCCGCTGGCGAGGACCAGCAGTAATTGTAAACGACAGACCATCCCTCTCGTCAGAGATGGCGCCCAATATCTATAAACTCGTAAACGTCTCACAGTAACAAAAATCTGGTCTTGGGACCCAGATGGGGGCTTGACACCAAGAGAGACTGGGTAACTGACCGTCAGTCGTAAAGTAACTTTCATTTTGATTCGGCCTTTAAAGGGTTAAAACAGTAAAAATTGCTTGTGCTGCAATGCATTTTAATAACTCCGTGTTTCTCTCCACAGGATTTCATTGTGTACATGACCCTGGGCATGGAACTGCGCGGAAGAAGGAGCTAAGGCTTCATAATCACCGTGATTTGAGCGATGTTGGAAAACAAGCGAAATTATATCTTTATTAGCAAATAAGCTTTCATAATTATCGACCGAATGAAGTCAGACATTCCAGAAATCTTTCACAAAGCCATCATATGTTATTCTTAACGCTCCGTGTTCAAGAATCGAACATCAGACATTAGATCGTTTGTGTTGTTGTTATAAACACAATACTGAGGGGAAAACCAGACAGGAAGACAAACTATCACATTCACAATTTCCCTTCCGATGAAGAATCATATCCGGCCATGTGATAATGAAACACTTAACAAATTAGTTTAATGTGACTTTAAAGAGAAAGCTACAGCAGTAGCTTCAGTAGGTAGCAAAGAAGAAAGCGCATACGACACAGAAGAAATTCTACAGGGTGGAGGAAAATATTGACCGCCATGAGAGAGGATTATTTCACGCCGTTCATGTTTATCGCCCTGTTATGCCTAGCAGCGCTGTTGCCTCAAGGTAAGTCAGGAATAGAAGTATCTTCTTTTCATCGTATAAGCAATTAAGACTGTTTCGATTACACAAATTGATTCCATCTTCTGTGCAAAATCCGTGTAATGAAAGAGAAAACTGCAACGAGATAAAGTTCCGTGCATTCTTAGCATTAGATCAAGGTTAGTGAATACTACGTTCCGGCCGCTTTAACCCAGCTAATATTTGGTGAATCCTGTATCTGTTGCGCGTCATCGCTTCACGACATAGGTCAGGTCGCCGTGTGTCCTTCTTGCGAGACTCGCCTACGAAATTTGACACAACTGATTTGCAAAAAAAAAGGAGAGAGAGAGAGAGAGAGAGGGGAGCGTTCGAAATTCTGCTCTCGAATGAGACAAGCGTATAAGTGTAGTTATATCAAATAAAATATATGTAACATACGTACCTATGGCTTATTATATATTTTTAGCGTATTTCCCTTACTTTGAAAAAAAAATAAAAAGACGCTTATGAGATCACTTTGCTCTCTCTTTCCAATTGTTTAGTTCCCTATGCGGTCCGTATCATATCAAAGGAAAGTAGACGGTTAATTCTTCCCAGCACTTATATTATCCTCTAGTCGCGCGTCCTGCGTTATGGGGACAGAAGTCGAATGTGGCCGGCCAGTAGCAAAGGGGCTGCCACCCACACAGCGTCCGATATGACTGATGAATTGGTAAGGATTTGGAAGGAAGCGGTCGGGCCTAAGCGAGATACTATCTCGGCGTTTGTCCAGTGGACTGAGGAAAAACACGAAAATCGTCGGTAATGATAGCCGATGCCCGACCGAGACTCAAACCTTGCACTTCCCGAACAAAAGTCTGTAGTGTTGCTGCTACACAAGCCTGATGGGTCTACCTTATCATGTAGCACGAATATTTGGATTCTTGAAAATAAAGTTGTGTCCTCCAATTTGTGGCATAGGCAGTCGAGCCTGTTCCGACCTCACACACTCATTCAATCTCTTCCAAGGCCTCCCTCGGTTTCGGTGTTCTTTTGATGTGCTTTACAGTCTGTTCGTGTATTCTTTCATCGGTCATCCTACCAATATGGTTTATCCAATTTTGTGTGCACATCTGTTTTATTTTGTACTGATTTCATCTGCAGTTCTTTCTTAATAATCCTCATTGTTAATATGGTCCAGCCCGCATCCCATCTCCACCAACTGTACTTGTTTAGGTCCTTTGTTTTAATTGTACAAAGTTTCAAAATGCCCGTACCGGAAATATTACTGAACACACGGGGACTTTTCTTCCGTAAGGTTGCCTACTCTAGATGTGACGTACAAGCAGAGATATTTTTGACGAGCTTACGTAGGACAGAGAAATGAAGTCGCGGTTATTGAGGAGTCAGCAGAAGGAAGATTTCAAATGTTAACAGCAGAACTGTTGGCCTGGGGTTCCCCGAGTTAACTCTCCCAGCATTTGTATTCTGCGCGAATCCACAGTCAGCCTTGCAGGGCTGCAACCACAGCCCTTAAAACAGCGAGATTAAGTTAAAGCAAGAGAAAGAGGGGTAGGAACACAATCGATTCAACTTCTGGAACCTGGTTAAGAGAAAAGGCAAGAAAACTTTGGAACGAGAGACGAGAGCAAAGCGATTAAAAGATACAGAGAGGAGCAGATAGAGATACGGCGATTGGGACAGGCATAGAAACCGGAGGAGAAAGCGAGAGATAAGGTGATTGAGACACAAAGATAGAGAAGATGATGTGATTGAGATATACATAGAAATTGAATAAGAGAGGGAGAAATGAGATGATACATACAGAGATATGGCGATTAAGACAGAAAGAAAAGAAGAAAGCGAGAGATGAGATAATTGAGACAGAGAGATAGAACCAGGAGGAGAAAGCTAGAGATGAGGTGATTGAGACACAAACAGAAACAGGAGGAGAGCGAGAGATAAGGCGATTGAGACACAGAAACAGGAGAAGAACGAGAGATAAGGCGACTGAGACACAGAAACAGGAGGAGAACGAGAGATAAGGTGACTGAGACACAGAAACAGGAGAGCGAAAAAGAATGTGATTGACACACAGACATAAACGTGGAAAGGGACAGATATGGTGATTGAGACTGACATAGACCAACAGAGACAGATATAAGGCGACGGAGATATGAAACAAAACGAGAGATAAGGCGACGGAAACGAAATAAAGCTATTTGAGTGTGATAACGAAAATAATTAATTTTCAGTATTTAGGGTTTGCATCCTATTCCACTTCAAGAAGATTACTAGACTACTAGTTCTAGAGGAAGTAATCCAAAAGCTGGCTCAGAATGCTAAACGCAAATCCGAATCGTTGTCAGTCTCCCGTGACGTCAGTCTGGACAGCAGATGGTCAATCAGACAGTTTGCCATCAAACCGGACAGTTTCGCGTCGGAATGCTTCTTTTACCTACGCCCGGATAATCCATGCAATGGTTCCCAACACACAATGCAACAGTGTACTATGTCTAACTTAATTTCATATCAATGATTTGAAATAGCGTTTTTCAAACCGTGGAACCCCCATACGTAAAGGCACCAAAGTAGCGTGCCCGGGGTGCGGTAAGCCCTCATTTTGTGCTCATTTTGACTCGGTTATGCTTCTACATATGACATATGCTCATTTACATTATATAGTAAAGGTAAAATTGTCCCTGCGCATGATCAATAAGCACCACACCATTAGAACGTGCCCGAGTCGGGATTCAGAGACGGACTACGAGCTGGATGGGACAAGTTCGATTTCCGAGAGACGAAAACGTTTCATCGACTCTACAGCGTCCAGACCGGCTCTAGGATCCACCCAGCTTCGACTCTAACAGATATCGGAGGCTGTTTCTCTAGAGCAAAGAGGCCGGAGCTTCAAGTAGACCACTCATCTCCATCTAGTGCCGAGGTCAAGAGAGATGGAGCTGTACCTCCACTGTACCATAATGGTTCTTCATCAACTATGCACAGGAGTAAATTTATCATTACTTTCTACCACGACGACGTATCAGATACTGAAGTTTCTCCGTCACCATTCTTAGCCACTGCAGTGAATTGCGGCCAGTGGTCAGCTTCACGTCTGTCCCTTTCATGGCCGTAGGAGTAGCCGCGGGGGCCCAATGAATATAACGATGGGTGGGCCCCACAGCAGATCTGAACACTACGAGGAAGAGAAAAATCTCTTGTCCCCTGCCGGGAATCAAACCCCCGATTCTTCAGTCGTCTATTTGTCGCACCGACTGACACCCTGTTTCCAGTTTATATTACAAGAGGAATACAAATTTAGTTTCTCTTTATAGTTCCCCCAATTTCGTTTGATCAGAAACCATAGAAGGTTTTAGAACGGCTGCTTTATACTGCAAGCCCTGTTCTATAACTATGGCAGCGGGGCAGTGGTTGCAGTTGAATTGTGGGAGGGAGGGTGACGCACTGTAACTAAGGACGTGTTATAATCCATATACCCCTTCCAATCCGCCAACTGGTTCGTATATATTAATCATTCATTCCCGGAGTTTGGCACGAACATCGCCGACAAGCGGCGGTCGCTCGGTCGGTATAGTTCCCTTGCGGACTAAAGCCAAGGAGGTTTTTTTCCCTTGTTTCCCTGCAAGCTACACAGTCTCAATACAGACTTACTTACTTACTTACTAACTCATGGAGCTGAGCCCTTTTTGAGGAGCTGCCAATTCTGCAGCTACTCAAGAATTTCCCAGCATTTTATGGAACCCGAAGGTTCATTGCCGTGTTCACAAGAGCCCTCCACTAGTCCCTATCCTGAACCAGATCAATCCAATCCATACCATCCCATCCTATCTCTCTAAGGTTCATTTTAATATTGGCCACCCACCTATGCCTTGGTCTTCCTTGTGGCTTTCCCACCAATATCCTATATGCATTCCTCGTCTCCCCCATTCATGCTACATGCCCTGCCCACTCTCAATACTGACAGCGTCGTGAAAGAGAAAACTTAAAAATATTGGGGCCGTTCTCTGTTCATTCAATCTTGTTCAGTTTAGGGACCAACCGGAGGTTCTTCTGAATACAGGAATAAACCTTCGCGTTCTGTAAAATACAGAAATATTCTTGACGAGGTGAGCAACTATTCGCTTCTCCAGAAGGACGTTACAGCATCACGTTAGTCCTTACATTTAGTGTTACGAATTCAAAAACAATTCTCGCCCCCTTATGTGTGTGACTTGGTACATTTTTGTTCTGCTTTATCGGCCGGCTGCCTGAAGTAACGTATTCCACGTCTCATGCAAAGTTGAGGTACGGGGATCCTTGAGTCACGTGACTCGTGACTTTGGGATAGACAGCAATAGGAAGTGGGAGGGGAGGAGGGGGGGTAATGGGAAGAAAATCGCGGGGGGTGGGGGGGAAAAAAAAAAACGCAAAATGTTAATAAAAAAATGATGTAATTCTTTTGGAAGAGAACATGAGTGACTAAAAAGAAAAAACGAAATTCGGATGCAATTGAAACACGGAAATTGGAACAAACGATTTTAGCCTCCTTAGTTCAGTTCTTTTTATTTATCTTCTCTGTCTGGATGTAACAGCCAATTTGTTTAGTTTTATACATCTTGACATCTTGAATTAAATAGAGACTCTAACAAACAGCGCTTGAAAGTCATCAAATGACATCCTCTCAGGATCTCTTGAAGAGACACAACGAAATGGCAGACGATGAAGCACGACTGCACCATAAAGTAACGTATGCATTACGATAAATAACCGAGCACGATGGTTTAGCCGGCAACGCTCCTACCTTCCGTTAGGCGGGTGACTGTGCCGAATGTCAACTGGGTTAGTGGCTTATTATTAATATTTTATTTTTCCCGTGGGGTGAGACAGTCCACTTGGTACGTCGGCCACTACTGGCCTATTTTACCAGTACCGGATAGATGATGACTGTGGAGCAGTCGATGGAATGACAATTGGCGGGGGAAACCGAAGTACTGGGAGAAAACCTGCCCCAGTTCCTCTTTGTCCACCACAAATCCCACATGACGTGAACTGAGCTCGAAATCTGGCCTGAGAACTTCTTCGGTGGCTTTGTAGCTCCATGAATTTGTTTGGTTAAAAAGGTGAGGCTATCCGTGTAACACGCCGTGGAGGCTCATAGGGTTCTGAGACGTCGAGGCTTCCACATTTTCTAGACCAGGCATGTCCAACGCGTCGATCGCGGGACGATTTTTGTTCGATCTCATAGGCCTATAGAGAAATTATACGTGAAAAGCATGTAAATTCACTTGTAATATAATATGATTATATTCAGATTTTGAAGGGAAAATACGTATTAAAGTAGTCTGTACTTTCAATGTATGTTGCTTTTACAACAAACATCATGTGTCGTGTTATTTTTACCAATATTTTTGCTTAAAGCGAGGTACGACGATAGGAGGGGGTGGCAGATCATTGGCAGTTTTGACACTAAAAAGTCGATGACAACCTGTTAGAAGTTGGGCATGCCTGTTCTAGACAATCGACTCACAGATGGCGGTGAGGTTGTCAGCCTTACCCGCCGGCCTACATTTACCCCCAGGAAGATTCCTGGTACTCATTTCTATTAGAGGCTGAGTCGAACCCAAGGGCATAGTGCGGCTGGAAGGGTTAGGTGAACTGAAGAATACACAATAATCTCAACGGGAATCGAACCCGCGGTCTTCCAACCTGTAGCATAGTGTCTCAACCAACTACGCTACCGCGTGCCCCGTTATTGGGTTAGTACAGTGCACTAAAGATAAGTTTTGTTACAGTTTAGCACGGAATCTATGAATCTTTGAAGCCATTTCTTATAGATCATGATATAAATAGAAAACACGGGGGGGGGGGAGACCGGTAATACTTCCTTATGAACATGGGCAGAACTGGTTGGCTATTACGAATCCAGAAATAAAGCAGTTCAAATAAAAATGTATGTATGTTCAATGATATTGCTATTCATACAAAACCATTTACTTTATTCAAAATATTATGTCCTGTAATGTTGTTTCGCAATGTCCAAGCTCCTCAGTCGGGACAATACACTCTCTGGTTTGCCTGCAGTCTCAGCGCCGTCGCGTCGACAGACTTTACCCACAGCGACGAGGACACTGCCGAGACAGAGCTCAGAGCTGGTCTAGCGATAAACTGTCCTCCCGCTAGAATCTGTTTAGACTGAACTATGAAATGATGATTCTCTTAATGTTCGCGGCAATGCCATATTTCTCATCACTAAATTTTTATCTTGGACATTGTCCAGTGTCCACATAGTGATATAGACTACTTCTCTCCAAGCGGTCCAACTGAGAAGGCTCCTTTCCTCTTTTACTCCTGATGACAGAAGCAGGTCCGACTTCCGAAAAGCCTTATAATATAAATATACATAAGGAGAAAACGAAGTCCAATACAGTAACTTTATAACAAAAAGTATTGTAAAGGAACTGATCAACGATTTTCCAAGCAACGGCTCGAGAAAACACCGCGATAAACGCACGCAATAGAACGGGGTTATGCAATCCGTTGCTAGGCAACGACTCGGTAAACACAATTCCGCCTATCAGACCATGCTATGCAACGCGATAACGTCATCAACAATATCGGCTGTTTTCCGTGGCGTCTGTGAAAGTGCTTATAAGAGAAGTGAATTCACGGACCGTGTGGAGGAGGGGTCTAATACTTCCACTGTGCCCCTGCGAGTCGTAGGAGGCGACGAAAATGGAAGTCTCAAATCTGAGACAGTAAAATATGGTCGTGAGTCCCAAGGGACTCGGACTGGAGAAAGACTGCGCTGACAAGGGACAGCAGCATATACAAAAGACAAACCCGTCCTCTCGTCAGAGAGGGCGCCCCAGAAAAACAAGACTGTAACTGTCAAACGGTAATAGATATCTGGTCATGAGCCAAAGATGGGGCTCGACACCAAGACTTACTGACTGACTGACCGACCGTCAGTCGCAATGTGACTTTGACTTTGAAGTTAGGAGCAGCTGTGAGTACAAGGGCAAGAATGGAGCGTGTCCTTAGTGAACTGTGAAAATTAGCTGTACAGATTAGCACAGAGGAGAACAGAGTGACTGAAGACGAAATAAAAGGATACGTCATAGTGATTTGAAGTGATAGTCTCTGTATTGAGATCCGTTGCTAGGAGACGACTAGTGGAAACTGAGAATCCTACTGCGTGCGCAAGGGTGAACTGGAAAGTGTGTTAAATTGGCGATAGCGCTGTGTTGCCTGCACTTAAGGGTGTTTGTAAAGGAAGCTGTCAATAAATGCATTCATCCGAAATAGAACCCGTTACTTGCGTCACGCGTACACCCCCTATTTATGTAATCTCTGCAGCCGTTTACAAACGAATATTAAGAGGCGTACCCTTTTCTGGGTTATGACGCCGTATAGTCTGGTAAAAGTATACCGGACGTTTCGGAGTAACTTCGTCCCTCCATCTTCAGCGTCGAATGTTAATTCAAGTAAGACATAAGCAGGTACAATGTTGTGCTTGCTGTATGCCTGACTTACTCTTCGACCGTGAAGAAGGAGGCAGTACGTTCAGCCAAAATTCCTATAAGGTTCTACTAGAGGTGTACGGTGTCACGGCCCAGGAAACTAGGGACATTTCGAGAATCCAGAGGAAGAGGAACGTTCGCCGTTGGAGGCCGTTACGAGACAACGACTGGTGAAGAAATAGCAGGCTTAAGACTTAAGTGTGTGCTGTAGTGAACTGTAAAGTGTGTGAATTAGCGAAAGTTATAATTACTCGTAATCACTGAAGTATAAGGGTGCAATGAATCCAATTACCAACCCAAAACCAGTTTATAGTCACTCAATCACGTGACAATATTGATTTTAATGTGGATAAACCATTCTAGGACGTATTTCCATAAGAGGGAGGAATGAACTATTTTCATACCGTGTGCACCGGAAGTGACGTCATGTAGATATTCCAGTCACGTTTCTCACACAGGGGAGAAACGGAAATGGCGGAGGGGTGAGAATATCGGAAAATGTTCCCTATTTTCCCTGGCGGTGATGACATCCTGATGTCATTCAACTTATAAAGGTAAAGTAAATTTGTCTCTGGCCTTGTCTAAGTACCAGGACTTGAAGACAAAATTTGGAGTGGAGGTATAACTCCATGCATTCTTAGAATCAGTATTAGATGTGGATTACAGATCAGGTTCACACGCCGGCCGCTTAATCCCCATATATTCGAGAGATGAAGGGCTCCGTGGAAGAGAAACATGCATTTACATGAACTTTTCACATTGATACTTGTAATAAAAATCATCTTTACGTTTGACAAAAATTTCGTATTTCCACTTAGTCAATCACATATTTAAAGAAAAAAACTGTGTACTTTTATTATATATTTCGGTTCTCCGTTCCAGTTTGGGTAATACGTAAAAATGAAATGACTGTACCAAGCGTGCCAGGAGCACCAAACTGGCGAGGGCCGCTGCTCTCAAGGGTTGTGACAACGGTCTCTTCGTTATTCACATATTATTTTGGACACTAGCCATCGACTTTGGTATATTTAAAATGGGATATGGTTTCGAAGCTGGAATCGCTTCCATCTTCAGTTGTAAGGGGAAGGGTACGGATACAACTCAGCTGGGCCCATTGGAAAGTGTCGGTCGTTGGGCAAAGAAGGATGCTCCAAGCAAGAGAACTTACAGGCTGCTTAGAAATTCCGACAACCTCGTTCTAACGGCCCCAACTGAGTAGGACCATTTTCCAAATTTATACCTGATGATGGAAGCGGATCCAGCTTCAGAAACACCCTCCATTCGAAATACACAGAAATCGATGGACAACTCACAGATGGTGTTTCTAGTCTTGTGGCCTTCGCAGCTGGATTTCAGTGTATGGCTTCATCCTTCGGGAATAGACAGCATAAAATGCCGTGGATTTCCCTTAGTTCCGACAAACATTTCAGTTACCATCTTCACAGTTAATTACACTTCTTATCTGTTAGTATTCTAGTCCTCTGCTCGGCCAATCACGGCTTCAACTCAGATGACACACTGTCTAACGCTAGAGCTATGTGTGTAAGAATTGTAAACCCCTTCCAAAGTTCTTAACTCTGAAGATGATAACTCCAAGGTTTGTCGAAATTCTGAGCAACCCTCAACACCATACGACATCTAGCTCCGAAAGCTAAGCCCACACATAACATGCATATAACCATGGCAAATGTTAAGGTGTGTGTTGTTGTCTACAGGTGTGCATGGGAAGTGTTAACGTGTGTTGTTGTCTACAGGTGTTCATGGAAAGTGTTAAAGTGTGTTGTTGTCTACAGGTGTTCATGGAAAGTGTTAAAGTGTGTTGCGGTCTACAGGTGTGCATGGGAAGTGTTAACGTGTGTTGTTGTCTACATGTGTGCATGGGAAGTCTTAACGTGTGTTGTTGTCTACAGGTGTTCATGGAAAGTGTTAAAGTGTATTGTTGTCTACAGGTTTGCATGGAAAGTGTTAAAGTGTGTTGTTGTCTACAGGTGTGCATGGGAAGTGTTAACGTGTGTTGTTGTCTACAGGTGTGCATGGGAAGTGTTAAAGTGTGTTGTTGTCTACAGGTGTGCATGGGAAGTGTTAACGTGTGTTGTTGTCTACAGGTGTTCATGGAAAGTGTTAAAGTGTGTTGTTGTCTACAGGTGTGCATGGGAAGTGTTAACGTGTGTTGTTGTCTACAGGTTTGCATGGGAAATGTTAAAGTGTGTTGTTGTGTGCAGATATCCATGGGAAATGTTAAAGTGTGCGTTGTTGTGTGCAGGTGTGCTGAGTTTGAAGCTGCTGCGAATTGTCGTGCCTCCGTACACATATCAGGGAGAGAAGGCACTGCTACAGTGTCAATACGAACTGGAGAATGACCGCCTCTACTCTGTCACGTGGTATAAGGACCACGAAGAATTCTATCGATATGTACCCAAGTCACACCCACCACAGCACAGTTACCCACTCGAGGGCATCAAAGTCGATGTAAGTCCATAGCTCCTTAATGTTTCAGTGTTCAATTCCTGTAAGTACCATTCCATTGTTTCTACTGTACACAGACAAAGTGTCAAAGGTTTCAACCTCTACCATAACCGTACATCACAGACGTGATCCACTAGGAACACGACTTCTTTATGGCTCCCTCTTCTTACGAACATTAAAAATACAGACCTCGTTTTTACACCCGGCCTTTGGGTTTCGCGCTAAAGAGAGGTCAGCAGCATACGAAACAGGAAGTGGTTGCAGCTGCATTGTGGGAGGAAGAGAGGGTGACACACACACTAACTAATGACCTTTTATAACTCATACACAGCCTAAAATCCTTTATATGAGTGGTTCCGGCCAAATCCTCCGCGAATTCTGTTGAAACGGCCAGGACAAAAACGGAACATAATTAGCACGGTCCTCCTTGGCCAAAATCTTCTCTTCCTTTCTCCTTTATTCTGTTCTTCATCTTATCCTTTGTTTCATCCACATTCTTCTTCTTTGTCTTCTGTTCAAATATAGACCTCTATAGCGCAGAGAAGCTAAGAGTAACAATCGCTATGGGAACCAGGTTTCTTTATTTTAAAGGAACGGCAGTTGAGAATTCAATGGGATGTCTCATCATGCTTTAAGTAAGCTTTCGTGTATTAAACTTCCCTGTTCCTCCCGTATTCCTCTCCAGTTCATATTATTAAATGAGGCATAGAAGCCGAACTTAAAGCCATCTCCCACGAACAACAAGCACAAATAATCTGTCTTAAACCGTCTCTAGATATCCAAATCAACATATTACGTATTAATACTCACATAATACACACGATACACCGAAACAAATGACTGCCAGTTTTTCGTGATCTCTTGTATAACTTACGTTCATGTAAAGTGTAAATGCTCCACATGTTGTTCCTATGGTAAGCGTACATTGCGTAATTACGATGATAAATCTTACGCTTATAAAACGTAACGCTTATGCAGAAGGATGTGGTTCGCCCATGATGCATGGATTGAAATTACGAGCCATACCTGGGCCACGAGACTTAATTTGAATAACACCGTAATAAATCAAAGTAGGCTTAATTATGAGTCTAATTAAGACATAAGCTCATAAATAATGCTTTATAAACGTTAACTTTAATATAAAAAAGTTGATTGGTTGATACAACACGAAGGGTTTAGGAACCGTAAAAGAAGTTTGTTCTTGCTACTGCTAAGTTCATTTCTTGGCAAACTCGAGACTATAACTGAATTAATTGCAGTCAGCGAACTTCCTTAACTTAGCGGCCCCCAGGGGGGCAAGGATCCCCCGTACGTAACTTGCACAGAGCGGAGACAGGTGGGGAGGTAGGCAGCCAGACGAACAGAGGCTTAAGTGTAATATCTCCAAGCTAATGTCTTCGGTACAGTCACGCAGAACACAAACGGACTATCCCCCTGGATGTTACGCCCTGTAGTCCGGTAGAAGTGTACAGACGTTTCGACAGAACATATTGACTCCATGTTCAGTACTGAAGGGTAAGACAAGCAAGGGATCAGCATGAATCAGGCAGCAAGCAAGACTCTTCTTTCCCTGCTTCATGCTAGTTTATTGGTTGGCTTATACTTCAGCATTGAAGATGGAGGCAGTAAATTCCTTCGAAACGTCTGTAAACTTCCAGATGATGTAAGTACAGTGGTGAGAAATGGGGACGTTTCTGACAATCGTGCACGGCGCTCGGGACGTTGTCTACATTCCGGTATTCTGAACAACACGACGTTTCGTAAACTGGGTATATTCCCTCACCACGTGAAAGGGTGGGGAGGCATTTAGTCAGTATTTAGTGCCTCAACTTTTCACCTGATGACGGAAGCAGATATAGTTTCCGAAATGTTGTGTTCTTTAGAATGCTGGATGATGGGCGGTGTTCAGAAACTTCGGTGATCCCGAACGCTTTTGTGTGTCTGTCCGTCCACGTCCGACCTTGAAGATGGAGAATAAGCAGGAACAGAAGAGGAAGGAGAGGAACAAGAGAATAAGGAGCGAGAAGAAAGAAGGAAGGGAAGGAGCAAGTAGTAAGAAAAGATGTATAGAAGAAATAACAGAAGGCTAAAGATAAGAAGAACAAAAGACGAATGAGGTGTGAGAAAAAGAGTATGAAGATAGAGAAAGATGAGGAAGTGAACTGAAGAGGAGGAACACAAAGAGGAAGAAGATAAATAACAGAAGAAAACGAATGGTATAACGAGAATGAATAGGACAGAAACATGATTAATTTAGAAAAAGAAAATAGAAGATGAATGAAGAGGAGACAGAGAGGAAATAGGAAAAGAAGGAGAAAGAACGGTAAGAAAAATTAAAACAGGAAAGGAAGAAGAGATGAAAAATAAATGGAAGTAGCTGGAGGAAGAAAATAATTTTTCATGGTATATTGAATATAAACTGTTCAACCGATATCGATTAAATTTGGTCGTGAGTCTTCACTTCGGTGCACGAGTACACGTTACATTACAGCTCTTTTTTTATTGCTAGTGGGGTGGGTCCCTTGTACTGCGGCCACTTCTGGCCTATTGTACTAGCCCCAGATGATAGGTGAGGGTGATTGTGGAGCAATTAGTGGAATGAAGATTGGCAGGAAAACCGAAGTACTCGGAGAAAACCTGCCCCAGCGCCACTTTGTCCACCACAAATCCCAATTGACCAGACCCGGG